AATATAAATTTACTTATAGTCAACGTAATGACTTTATTATGTCAGCTGTTGGTGAAACTGATCAATGTTCTAGATGTTATTAGATACTGCATAACTATTGGTTCACACAGGTATCAGTCAAACGTAAAGGACAGAGTTCACTGACGTCTGTCAGCCTATCAGAGTAAAAGGAGGGCGGGGTTTAGAGAAGAGATGCGGAACAGATGACGGAACACTTATTTTACAGACAGATGTATGGCCTAGGTGTCCAAGTTGTTTGGATCATGTAGCAGCAACGAAACATACCAGCAGCTTATTCAAAAAACGAATGACTCATTTCCACAGACAGGAAAGGAGTCTTTCATTTGACTTAATTGACTAAACTGATAAAGCCGCTCAGTCAGCTGCTCCCTCTGTCAGACTTTATCCAGTCAGAGAACCAAGCTGCTGGTCCACCACCACCAGGGCCCCCCGGAGTTGGAATGTCCTCCATGGACTGAGCCCCTTCTGTCCTCTCAGCTCACACTGAGCCGCTCTGCTATCACTCCATCACCACATCTTCCAGTTTCTACTTTGACTTCACTTGTTTCCAGCACATTACCACAGATGTTACACTTATTTCTGCAACATATGGTAAAACAGACCTCATTTACTGAGAATTATACCTCATTTTCTTAGTAGAAAAAAGCTGAAATGATTAAATTGTTCAATTTTGTTATGAACAAAAGCACAATGATTTTTTTTCAAGTTATTTTCTCTTTTTCATACAAGTGATGACTGCTGTTATCAAAGGTTTTCTTATAGAAAAACACAATTTCACATACGAAAAGCCTACTTACATTAGTAATAGTAGTAGGAGGAGGAGGAGGAGGAGGAGGAGGAGGATTTCACTATTTTTCTAAAGGGAAGAATTGATCTTTGCTGCCGTGAAAAACCACCTGTCCACCGGCATATTGATTGACCGAAGAACCTAACAGCGTTTGAGACCTCTAGTGAAAACTTTCAAAGAGAGATAAAGTAATTCAACAGAAAAGTTGAGCACATCATCAGATACAATCACCAGCTGACCACAGAATACAGAAACCAATTAGCTGGAGTCGCACAGGCAGCTCAGATGCTTGGAGAGGCTTAGGCTTCCAAACTGACGTCAGTAGAAAAAGGAAACTTCAACAAGACTTCAACCTACCAAAGCATTTTGGAGGAGATTGTTCTGGAAAAACAAAAACACTCCTTTAGGACATTCAGTGATCAGTGAACAGGAAGTTGGCTTGTTCACTTCAGAGGTAACTGGCCAATCAGACTCAGCTTCGCTTAGCTTGCGTGACAATCTATCACCTGAGTTTGTTTAGCTAGAAAACCAATTGATTGGATGGAATCTTCTTTTAGGTTTGGTCTCAGTGCCTGAGCATGTGCAGAGGGACATTGTAGAGGCTCATCTTCCTTTTAACAGGAAGAAAACTCAGAA